AGCTGGAAACCACACAGGCCTCCTCCTATAGCCTCCTGGACCCAGGACACCATGAAACCTACCACTGGAGTAGCCTTGCAAGCCGAAAACAGGGACTGGCCCCCATTCTTCTTCCAAAGAATCACATAAGAAGTCATGCTGGTGAATGCAAAGGGACCTCTCAGCAAGAAAGACGGACACACTACTGGAGGCTGAGTCAGGAAGGCCACATGTTTGTGGCCAGCCTAGGTAACTTAGGGAAATCTTGTCTCAAAAACAAGAGTTGGGGATGTAGCTCAATGGTAGAGCATTTTCCTAGCTTGTGCAAGGTTCTGGCTCAATCTCCAGCACTGTAAAATAAATAAATTTCTGCCTTGGGGGGGGGGGTTTGATGGAGCAAAGTGTGCAGTATGTCCTTGGGCTTTAAGTGACACCTGATCTTGGTGACAGCTCAAGGGCAGTAAGATCTGGGACCCCACCAGCCTGCTGGGGCCCCTTTGTTACAAGAGACTAAGTAGTAGATTTAAATGTGGTGGGCACGGGCTCTGACTTACATTCACATGGGTATTTGGTGGCTGTAGACACTGTGCCTGACTTTAGATTGGTGATCTAAGGCCAGTTCCCTGCATGTGCCTCAAACTGGGGCTTCACGTGCACCCTCATCTTTGGCTGACTGATGTCTTCCTCTCCCTCCTTCCCTCATTCCAGTTTCTTGAACAACCAGAATAGCCCCTGGCTCAGGGCCTCTGCACAGACTGGCCCCTCCACCTGCATGTTCCTCGGGAGAACTTCCTGGCTCACTTCCTCATCCCTTTCAGGCCTCTGCTTAGAGGCCCTATCTTGGGAGGCCTCCTCTTCCCTGTTTGTTTGCTTGGTCATCACTGGACATCCTTCTATATTTTACTATTTGTTTATTATCTGGTTGCCCCACTAGAATACACACACAGGAGGGCCAGGATTTCATAACATTTGATCACATGCTTTGATGCTCTGGGGTCACTCACACAGCTGAAATGAACACTCCAGAGCTATAGTCCTTAATTTGTTTTTCTTTTTTTTGGTTTTTGGTTTTTTTCCGGTACTGGGAATCGAACTCACGACCTCGTGCTTACCAGGCAGGCTCTGTGCCACTGAGCTAAATCCCCAGCCCCTACTCCAGAGCTATAGAATTCTCCAACTTGGCTGTGTCCTCTTAGCAACCCCTCTGAGAATTCCCAGCTCTGGACACTGTCTCCAGGAATAAAATTGATTGTTTGAGATCTTATGAAATGTGTAAAGAACAAAGCAAAGAAGCAACACAGGGGATACAGATTTAGAAGCCCCTGCTGACTGTGCCTGGAGACGTCGAGGAGTGAGAAGTGGGCTTCTCGAGGAGTAAGAGGAGGGTAGAGGGTGCCTCCTAGCCATGCGAGCTGGCGCCATGGGCTCAGGTTCAGGGGGAAACACAGGAATGAAGAGAAACACAGGGCTCTTTATCAGAGCCAAGCAAGGCAGAGATGGAAGTGGAGACTGAAAGTGGTAGGAAGGGGCTTCCTGCATGGGGAACTGCAGCTGAGCTCTAGACGTCCCCACCCTGTAGCTGAGGCAGCCGTGCAGCCTCACAGCCCACCAAGCACTCCCACGGCCATGTCTCCGAGGGCATGGCATGCCTGGGCACCCGCAACAGGTGACCCCAAGCAACAGCCAGAAACACAAGCCAGAGAAATGCAGCTCTGGCACTTGGTCGAAAGTAAAGGACATTCTGGATGAGCTCCCCCTGAGCAAACACAGCAAAGGAAGCTCTGGGGAGCAGGACAAGGAGGGAGACTGAAAAGGGGTCAGCTGCAATCTCCTGCAGCCTGAGCAATGCTGGGTGTGGGTCACAACATGTAGACAAGAGAAGTCAGCAGAGGTGCAAGATGACAGAGCTGCCCAGGGCACGACCAGAGCCATCAGTCCCGCCATCTTTCACCAGCACGGGGAGGAGGGGCAGCAAAGCGCTCAGGACACCCTCACAGACCTCAGGGGCCTCAGGGCAGCATCTGTGCTCCCTGGCATGATGCCATGTAGCCCTCTCCAGGCCTTGGTTCCCTGCTCAGCCCCACAGCAGAGCCTTAACACGATACTCACGACAGCCTACCCCCAAGGCTCCCATGTGGGGCAGAGACTGCCCAGGAAGAGGGAGGGGAGGCTCGGCTGGTACAAGTGAAGCAGCACTCGGGTTTGGGTTCATCCCAAGGCTAGGGGCACAGAGGCTGGCATGTGGCAGTGCACAGCATTACTATGGGGCCCATATCCTTGTGGCATTGGTCTGAGTTCCTCCTCCTCAGAAGACTTTGCAAGAGGCTCATCTTGGAGACAATGGCAGGAAGCGCTCTGGAAGGAAACCACAGCCTGAGACCCTCCCTGCTGTGCTCTGCCCCAAGAACACGAGATGGCAACTGTCTTCAACTTTGAGCGGGATGCTGAGGGCCAGGGCTCTCCCCAGCTGGGACCCCTCTCTCTGATGGATGCTCTGTCCCTGGGACCAGTAGATGTGGAAAGCAGCCAGGCTGTATCGAAAAAGCCCTGGCTGCCCCCCACCCCCACCCCACTTTCAGGAAGGAAGGCTCTGTGCTCCTCTGGAGCAGGAGTGTCTCTAAAAATAAACTCGGCCCCTTCTGTATTTTCCTGCCTCAGCCCCTGTGGAGGAGAGGACAAGGGAGGAACTCACGTCCTCAGCCACCCTGGAGGGCTGCCTCCCTCCACCCAGCCACTCTCTCTCTCTTCTGCCCATCCCAGCTACAAATTCCCAGGGATGCTCTGAGGCCTAGAGAGGATGATCCTGCCCACTCACTATGTCCAGGGTCTGCAGGGTTAGGGGACAAGCAGGTACTAAGGAAGGGAGGACCTCAGGCAGGAGGACCAAGCTCTCTAGTCCTGGATCTGGGGGAATGAACTAGGGTACACAAAGGCATATCTCCTCATCAGAGTGTTCCTAAACTGATAGCAGACATAGATCTCCAAATATTTCAGGGCATTGGGTGCCACGAATTCTGTCAAAGGTACAGCAGTGCCAGCCCATAGGAGGTAGAGCAGGCTGATGTGGGCCAGGGGCTTTCAAGGAGCTTTGGAGCAAAACTGGTGTTCGAAGTGGAATTGGAAGGGGGATGGGAGCCTGAAACAGGGGAAGAGGGGCTACAGTGCAGGAACTGCACAAGCAAAGTGAAGGCACACCAGGGCACTAACTCCACGTGAGCACGGACCTCTCTCTGCATTGCTCACAGATGCAGCCCTGGTTCCTAGAACACTCCCTGGTACAGACTATAAATAGAGAAAATTCCCTGAGGACATTTTGGGTCCCAGCAAGGACCTTCACGTGAAGTGGGCTGGGAGCTGATCATCTCTGCAAACCCACTGATCTCTGGAATGCAGCTGCTGAGCAGGAAAAGAACCTTCTTCCTGTGAGAAAGGAAACAGGAAGCCAAGGCTCACCGGGGCAGTGAGGGGCAATGTCAGCACTCAGGCTGGCAGTGCAGGACACAGACACTCGCCCCAGGCCCTGCCAGGAGTTGGGGTGAGATCCGCCAGCAAGGCACAACCATGAGGCTCTGACCCCACAGAACCATAGCAACTACCAGAGAAGCCTCAAGTTGGGCTGAGAGTTACTACACCACCCACCCCACACCCACTCCTGGCAGCACAGACACCTTAGGAAGTGAATTAAAACAAAACAAAAAACACAACATAGCACTCTCTTCTTAGCACTTGGAGGCTTCTTCACGGCAAGTGAAGAGAAGGAGCAATTAGAAAAGAAAACAGCCCACGGTCCCAGCCTAGAGACACAGAGGTGAGGGGGGCATTCTCATGAACCCCATGCAGCCCAAGAGGCCCCACAGGCCTGGCTCTGTGGAGGGGAGGAGCCAGAGAGCAAGGGAGGGAGGGAATTCAGAGAGCAGGCCACGTGCTTCTAGCCTTAGGGTCCAGTCCCAAGCCCACTGCTGAGCAGCTGTGTGACTGGCGGCCTGACATCGTCCATCTCTGAGGCTTGGTTTCGGGTGCCTTGTGTAAAACGACCCTGATCACCACTGTGCAGGCCTACTGTGCGACTTAGCAGGGCTGGTGCACTGAAGGGCCACAGCCCTCGCACCACAGAGGCTGGGAACAGGAAACTGCCCTCCTCTTCCAACTTCCTCAGCTTCCCCAGATGAAATATCCAGCCTCTGTGCCCCACAAACTCATATGAGCCAAAGAATACCCAAACCAGGGAGCTGAGTTCCAGAAAGAAGGAAAACCACTTTGCCTCCTGTTCTTTGTATGTGGAAAAGGGCAGGGTGAGAGACTCAAGCATGCGAAAAGGAATGGACAAGAAGCTGGGGGGCGCAGAGCTCTGTTCTCAGTGGAGGTGAGTCGGGGAAGGGTGCAAAGCACTGGGCCATTTGATCTCTATCCTGACCCTATAGCCAACGCACTGGCCTCAGTTTCCCACTGCGGGAGGAAGTATGTCCAGAAAGATGGTGCCTGTGAAAATACAGTCATTTTTCTGGGCCACTGACCATGACCTGTGGGCAACAGGTCAGTGGGGAACCTGTGGGAAACAACCCAGACTCTGCCCATCACCAAGGCTGGGAGGTGGTTGGAGGCCAAGATTCCCAGCCCGGAAGGAGCTGGTGTCTTCAAGGTAGAACTCCGGCCTGCCCTGTCCCATGTCTTGGGAATAGGGCTGCCAGGCTGACCCTTGAGAACAAACAGCAAAGAGCTACCCTGAGTACTCTGTAAGTGGGAGAATAGCAACCACCAAGGCCTCAAGGGCTGGCCTGAGCACCTGAACTGGCATCTGTAGCTATAAGAGGCAGAACGTCAGTCCTTCCTGATCAGTGACCGTAAGTCAATACTGCAAGGCGCAAAATCAATAAACACAATCTAGCCAACATTAATCAGCTAATGAGGTTTTTAAGAGAAGAAGGAAACAGAAAATAAAAAGCCTCTGTACCTTCAAACTTCAAAGACCAGGTCCCCGGCACTGAAGGCTCAAGGTCACTGCATCAGTTATTGGGCCTTACCTTTGGGTCTGCGCAGCTCTGCTAGAGTCACTGCCACCAGAAGAGGGATGGATCAGTAGGCCCACAGAAGGGTGTTAGGGGCTAGGACACACGTGCCAGCATCCTGCAGGGAGAAGCCAACAGGAGAGACAATGAGACCCCTGAACTCCCTCATTCCAGGCTGACTGATGGGGAAGCCAGCAAAGCCAGGCCTCACCCTGAGCAACAGAGACCAGAAGTCCCAACAGAACGAGAGGGTCCAATGGGAGATGTCTAAACGAGGGATCTACCGTTTGCAGAGGGACCCAGTCCGGGATGCGTTCAGGGACAATGTGCCTAACTTGAAACTGGTGAATGACAGATACACCCTGCCAGTGCCCTAAGCCTCCTCTGTGCATAGGAAAACGGCAGGAGGCCGGAACTGACCCTCAGCACAAACAGTTGCCTTCCTGTGGTTGCCTTCCCAGAAGCCTGTTGGGATAGGAAGATTTTGATTGTGGGGCTGCGTAGGGCTGGAACACTGGACAAAACACAGTGGAGAGTCCTGGGTAGAAGTGGCAGATGACTGCCAGCAGTCCCAACAGGCTCTCCAGCTGGCCACTGTGGGCCTAGATGTCCACCACTGCCAAAGACCCCAAGGCCAGAATCGCGCACATGAAACACAATGAAAAACATGGAGAAATGGATATTCAGGGAGTCCTGCTTCCAACAGCCTCACTGATAACACAATATTCACAGGCACTGCTGAAGCCTCCCAGCCCAGAGATCCCTCAGAGTCCCGAGACACCCCAGGCCTGTGTTGCAGTTCAACACGTCTTGCACATCTAACACACCGATGAGCCTGCACCCTCACATCTGTGCCCAGCAGGCGGGCAGCAGCCCAGGAAGCAGCTCCCTGCAGACTATGGGCACTGGGGCTGTTCCTGGAACTGATGCAAAGTTCAGGGCGACCTCCGCCACTGAGGCCCAGGCACCAGGGCTCCAAGATACCAATCCGTGCCCACAAGGGGTGAGCCGTCTCAACAGACGTAAAAGCAACACCCAAGGGAAATTTCACGGAGGATCAGGGTGACAAAGTGACCAACTGCCAGTGAGCTGCACAGACAGCAAGAGCCAGAGTGGGGGGGAGAGAGGAATCGGAGAGGTGCAAAGAGAACCAGCAGTGGGAGGTGCGGCTGCAGAGAACGGCGGCTCTTCACACGCTACCCCCGCCACACCCGCCGCCTCCTACGCTGCTGGGGAAGCTGCACCAAGGCAAACACACAACTTTTGGAGGCAGCCTTCGGAGACCTTGGCCATCCCATCCGTGCCCATGTCTTCACAGCCACACGTACACACAGATGTACACACTAGACCCCTGAAGAGACAAAACGTCCCAGGTTTCCCACTGCCACCCAGGGCCCTCAAACCTTTCTCCTCTGCATGCCACCAAATGCCACAGCTTGCCAGGCCTCTGCACAGACATCTCCATCTTGTTTCTTAGCTTTCACTGTCACACCTCCTAGCAATTCTAAAGTCCCCAGTTTTGAGGCAAGGAAGCCTGTGGAGAGGCTCAGGGTTTGCCATGGTAACACCCCTCTCCTTTCCACGGCCATCCGGATTTGGCAGGCCAGTCCCCTCCACTCCACACGACACTTCTCTGTGGGTGAGGCGGTCAATGTGACTCACGCCCTGCACAATTAGACCCACACGGCCTAGGAGGAAAAAGGCGCTCAGGGGAGGCAAAGAGGGGCCCTGTGGGGAATTTGGTTTCCAAAAAAAGTATCTAACATCCAGTGAGTGAATGCAGGGCCAGGTGAGGAGTAAGCAGAGCAGGCAGCCACTTCAGGGATAGACCTCCGGAGCAAGGGACTCCAAACATCACTGTAATGAATTGCAAATGTGCTGCCAGTTAACTCAGGTTTCCTCCCAGTGGCCCTTCATGTAGATGGTGCAAAGCGAACCAGCCCACTCTAGAAGGGGAAATGAGAAATAACACTGAAACACAGTCCTTGCTGAGATCTGCTGCTTGCATGATCTACATATGTAGCGATGGTCCTCGGGGCGGGGGTCTAAAACAGAATAATCTGATCTCGCTGCTCCCAGAAACAAAAAGAAAGTCTAGCGTGTACATCTGTGTGTACGTGTGGCTGCTCTACATTTTATTTTAATTTTTTTTTATTTTTTTGTCTTTTTGAGACAGGGTCTCGCTATGCAGTTCAGGCTGGCCTTGAGCTCACTTTGTAGCCCAGACTGGTCTCGAACTCTCAAGGATCCTCCTACCTCAGCCTCTCGAGTGCTGGGATTACAGGCCACCATGCCTGTCACTGCTTTACATTTTAAATGTAAATCTTCAGTATGCCTTTTGAATGGTGTGGAGTTGCATGGGACAGAAAAAAGAACACAAGAACAGCTTTAGAGATAAGAAGGCAGAAGTCAGAATTGCTTTCCTGAAAACTTTTCAGATCCCAGATGCTGTTTGAGTCGATGCAAGTGAATTAGTAAGAGAATCTCTTTAATAGAATATCAGTCTCTCTTTATCCCTACTAAATAAATGTCAAATAAACACTTACAGAATACCGGTTTGACAGGGTGCCAACCTGCAAGCTTGCCGGCATCCACACGTCTCAAGCTGGCCCTCTGGCTGCAAGTGTTCATTCCGAACGAGTGGGTAGTCGACTGAAGCCCAACTCTGCTGTCCTCACCCTCCGCTGACATGGAGACTGAGGCAGGTGCGTGGAGACTGGGCAGAGAGGCCGATGCTCGACACCCAGGTTTTTGATAGTAGGCCAGGGCCTTGGGTTCCACAGGGAATCAGGATTTCTGAGTTGTTTTGTTTGGATTTATTTTTGTTTGTTGATACGGGGTCTCTCTATGTAGCCCAGGCTGGCCTTGAACTCACTCTGTAGCTCAAGTTGGCCTCAGACTCTTGGTACTTCTGACTCAACCTCCCAAGTGCTGAAATTACAGGCATGTGTCACCATGTCCAGCCTCTGATTTTTAAAAACTGAGATATAATTTACATGTCATGAAGTTTACCCTTTTAAAGTGTACAGTTCAGCAGTTATTAGCCTACTTGTAAGGTTGAACAACCGTTATCACTATCTACATCTGGAACATTTTCACTACCCCTAAATGAAACTGCACCTATGAGCAGTTACCTTCCATTCCCTACTCCCAGCCCCTGGCAATCACCCATCTGCTTTCTGTCTGTATGGATCTGTCTATTCCGGGCATTTCATATCAAAGGAATCATATACTATGTGGCCTTTCGTGTCTTTCCCTTAACATCATGTTTTCAGAGTTCACCCACACTGTAGGCTGTAGCAGTTCCCCACTCCTTTTTAAAAACTGGTGTATTTTAGATATACACAATAACATTCATCACAGGGAATTTGTACCTGTACATATCTTGCTTCTTTTTTTTTCCCATTCCCTTCCCCTCCCTTCAATCCCTCTTACCCCCCTTATTTACAAAAGCTTTGTTTCACCAGGCGTGGTGGCACACGCCTGTAATCCCAGCACTCGGGAGGCTGAGGCAGGAGGATCGTTGAGAGTTCGAGACCAGCCTGGGCTACAAAGTGAGCTCAAGGCCAGACTGACCTGCATAGCAAGACCCTGTCTCAAAAAAAAGACAGAAAAAAAAAGCTTTGTTTCCATTTTTACCTTCTATTCTCTTTTTTTTTTTTTGTACCTTCCTTTCTTTCCCTTTCCTCCTTCCTTGTTTCTCTTCTCATTTGAACATTTTCTTCCCATTTCCCAATGTTATACATTGTGGTCCTTATTTACATTTTTGGTTTCTCACACCAGAGAAACAATGTGATATTTAAACATGCATGTCCAATTTATTTCACTTAAGAGTTCAGTCTCAGAAAAAAGAGTTTAGTCTCAAATGCATCCATTTAGCTAGAAATGTCTCAGACTTATCCTTTTTATGGCAGCATAGTGCACCATTATATTAAAAAAAAAAAAAACCCACATCTTCTTTAGCCATTCACCAGTTGATGGGCATTTGGGCTATTTCTAAGATTTAGCTATTACAAACTATGTTGCTATAAACATGGGTGTGCATATATCACTGTGATATGATGCTTTTAATTCTTTCAGGAAGATACCAAGAAGAGGAATACCTGGATGAAATGGAACCACTACTTTTAGTTTTTTGAGGAATCTCCACACTGATTTCCACAATGGTTGCACCAGTCTACATTCCCACCAGTGGAGAAGGGTTCCTTTCTCCCCACAGCCCCACCAGCATTTGTTATTGCTTGATTTCTTGATAACAGCCATTCTTTCTGGAGTGAGATGGGATCTCAGCATTGTTTTAACTTGCATCTCTCAAATGGGATGTTGAGTACTTTTTCATTATTTATTTGCCATTTCTACCTCTTTATCACTTCATTTCAGATGCCCATTTTTGGATTGGGTCTTTAAATTTGGGGGTCTAATTTTTTTTTTTTTTTAGTTCTTTATATATTCTACATAGTAGTCCTCTGTCTGAGGAACAGCTGACAAAAGTTTTTTCCCCACTCTGTGGGTTGTTTCTTTACTCTGTTGGTTTCTTTTGCTATGCAAAAGCTTTTTAATAAGATGAGATGCCAGTTGATTTTTTGTGATATTTTCTGTGCAATCTGGGTTTTGTTCACAAAGTCTTTGCCTACACCTATGTCTTCAAGAGTTCTACCTATTCTATCTTCCAGGAGACTTAGTGTTTCTGTTTTAATATTTATATCTTTGATCCATTTTGATTTTAGCTTAGTACATGGTGAAAGATAATGGGTCTAGTTTTAATCTTCAGCATGTTTTTCCAGCCAGTTTTTCCAGCACTATTTATTAGAGGCTGTCTTTCTTCCAGAGAAGGTGTTCAGCTCCTTTGTCAAAGATAAGGTGGTTGAGTATGTTTGCAGTTGTTTCTGCATCTTCTAATCTGTTTCAATAACCCTCAAGTCTGTTTTTTGTTTTTTGGGGTTTTTTTTGCCAGTACTATGCTGTTTTCATCACAGTAGCTTTGTAGTATAACTTCAAGTTAGGGATTGTGATGCCCCCGGCATTGCCTTTATTGCCCAGAATTGCTTTTGCTATTCTAGGTGTCTTCTGGTTCCAAATGCATTTTAGGGTTGTCTTCTCTAATACTGTGAGACACGC